CCGCAAACATAAGGTGCAAAAATTTGTACACCATATCCGGATTTCGACAATAAATGTCTCTTCAGTGATGTTAGGAATCGAAACGGTATTTGGAAGGCCATATAATTTACCTCAATTTGGGATTGACTCTTGAATTTTGAAGAGTCAAAATAGGATGAACGGATCATATAAACCCGAAGGCAAATATAATACAAGCCCAAACAAAAAAATATAAAGTCTAAATTGAAAACAACGTTCAAACCTATGATTGCGTTGGATAAAAACCGCAATTTTTATACGTGTGCATGCAAAACAAATTTCTTGGTAGAGTGGTCTAAATACAGCACAAACAACATTTTCCAAAAGACCAAACAAGTGAAAAAGTATATTTTAACAAAACGCATTTGACTAGCAGGTCGAACAACGGATGTTCTTAAACCCTGCTGACTGCCATGGCGATTGCCAAATAAACAGATCACCAGATGTAAAAATGGATCTTAATTTATTAATAATATACCAAACAGAAAACATTAAACTTGCGGAAAAAGATGGTATACCGCAAACATAAGGTGCAAAAATTTGTACACCATATCCGGATTTCGACAATAAATGTCTCTTTAGTGATGTTAGGAATCGAAACGGTATTTGGAAGGCCATATAATTTACCTCAATTTGGGATTGACTCTTGAATTTTGAAGAGTCAAAATAGGATGAACGGATCATATAAACCCGAAGGCAAATATAATACAAGCCCAAACAAAAAAATATAAACAAGTCTAAATTGAAAACAACGTTCAAACCTATGATTGCGTTGGATAAAAACCGCAATTTTTATACGTGTGCATGCAAAACAAATTTCTTGGTAGAGTGGTCTAAATACAGCACAAACAACATTTTCCAAAAGACCAAAAAAGTGAAAAAGTATATTTTAACAAAACGCATTTGACTAGCAGGTCGAACAACGGATGTTCTTAAACCCTGCTGACTGCCATGGCGATTGCCAAATAAACAGATCACCAGATGTAAAAATTTAATAATATACCAAACAGAAAACAATAAACTTGCGGAAAAGATGGTATACCGCAAACATAAGGTGCAAAAATTTGTACACCATATCCGGATTTCGACAATAAATGTCTCTTCAGTGATGTTAGGAATCGAAACGGTATTTGGAAGGCCATATAATTTACCTCAATTTGGGATTGACTCTTGAATTTTGAAGAGTCAAAATAGGATGAACGGATCATATAAACCCGAAGGCAAATATAATACAAGCCCAAACAAAAAAATATAAACAAGTCTAATTGAAAACAACGTTCAAACCTATGATTGCGTTGGATAAAAACCGCAATTTTTATACGTGTGCATGCAAAACAAATTTCTTGGTAGAGTGGTCTAAATACAGCACAAACAACATTTTCCAAAAGACCAAAAAAGTGAAAAAGTATATTTTAACAAAACGCATTTCACTAGCAGGTCGAACAACTGATGTTCTTAAACCCTGCCGACTACCATTGGCGATTGCCAAATAAACGGATCACAAGCGTAACGAAATAGATCTTATTATTAATTTATTACCAAACAGAAAACAATAAACTTACGGAAAAGATGGTATACCGCAAACATGAGGTGCAAAAATTTGTACACCATATCCGGATTTAGACAATAAATGTCTCTTCAGTGATTTTAGGAATCGAAACGGTATTTGGAAGGCCATATAATTTACCTCAATTTATGATAGACTCTTGAATTTTGAAAGAGTCAAAATAGGATGAACGGATCATATAAACCCGAAGGCAAATATAATACAAGCCCAAACGAAAAAATATAAACATGTCTAAATTGAAAACAACGTTCAAACCTATGATTGCGTTGGATAAAAACCGCAATTTTTATACGTGTGCATGCAAAACAAATTTCTTGGTAGAGGGGTCTAAATACAGCACAAACAACATTTTCCAAAAGACCAAAAAAGTGAAAAAGTATATTTTAACAAAACGCATTTGACTAGCAGGTCGAACAACGGATGTTCTTAAACCCTGCTGACTGCCATGGCGATTGCCAAATAAACAGATCACCAGATGTAAAAATGGATCTTAATTTATTAATAATATACCAAACAGAAAACAATAAACTTGCGGAAAAGATGGTATACCGCAAATATAAGGTGCAAAAATTTGTACACCATATCCGGATTTCGACAATAAATGTCTCTTCAGTGATGTTAGGAATCGAAACGGTATTTGGAAGGCCATATAATTTACCTCAATTTGGGATTGACTCTTGAATTTTGAAGAGTCAAAATAGGATGAACGGATCATATAAACCCGAAGGCAAATATAATACAAGCCCAAACAAAAAAATATAAAGTCTAAATTGAAAACAACGTTCAAACCTATGATTGCGTTGGATAAAAACCGCAATTTTTATACGTGTGCATGCAAAACAAATTTCTTGGTAGAGTGGTCTAAATACAGCACAAACAACATTTTCCAAAAGACCAAACAAGTGAAAAAGTATATTTTAACAAAACGCATTTGACTAGCAGGTCGAACAACGGATGTTCTTAAACCCTGCTGACTGCCATGGCGATTGCCAAATAAACAGATCACCAGATGTAAAAATGGATCTTAATTTATTAATAATATACCAAACAGAAAACAATAAACTTGCGGAAAAAGATGGTATACCGCAAACATAAGGTGCAAAAATTTGTACACCATATCCGGATTTCGACAATAAATGTCTCTTTAGTGATGTTAGGAATCGAAACGGTATTTGGAAGGCCATATAATTTACCTCAATTTGGGATTGACTCTTGAATTTTGAAGAGTCAAAATAGGATGAACGGATCATATAAACCCGAAGGCAAATATAATACAAGCCCAAACAAAAAAATATAAACAAGTCTAATTGAAAACAACGTTCAAACCTATGATTGCGTTGGATAAAAACCGCAATTTTTATACGTGTGCATGCAAAACAAATTTCTTGGTAGAGTGGTCTAAATACAGCACAAACAACATTTTCCAAAAGACCAAAAAAGTGAAAAAGTATATTTTAACAAAACGCATTTGACTAGCAGGTCGAACAACGGATGTTCTTAAACCCTGCTGACTGCCATGGCGATTGCCAAATAAACAGATCACCAGATGTAAAAATGGATCTTAATTTATTAATAATATACCAAACAGAAAACAATAAACTTGCGGAAAAGATGGTATACCGCAAACATAAGGTGCAAAAATTTGTACACCATATCCGGATTTCGACAATAAATGTCTCTTCAGTGATGTTAGGAATCGAAACGGTATTTGGTAGCCATATAATTTACCTCAATTTGGGATTGACTCTTGAATTTTGAAGAGTCAAAATAGGATGAACGGATCATATAAACCCGAAGGCAAATATAATACAAGCCCAAACAAAAAAATATAAACAAGTCTAAATTGAAAACAACGTTCAAACCTATGATTGCGTTGGATAAAAACCGCAATTTTTATACGTGTGCATGCAAAACAAATTTCTTGGTAGAGGGGTCTAAATACAGCACAAACAACATTTTCCAAAAGACCAAATGAGTGAAAAAGTATATTTTAACAAAACGCATTTGACTAGCAGGTCGAACAACTGATGTTCTTAAACCCTGCTGACTGCCATTGGCGATTGCCAAATAAACGGATCACAAGCGTAACGAAATAGATCTTATTATTAATTTATTACCAAACAGAAAACAATAAACTTGCGGAAAAGATGGTATACCGCAAACATGAGGTGCAAAAATTTGTACACCATATCCGGATTTAGACAATAAATGTCTCTTCAGTGATTTTAGGAATCGAAACGGTATTTGGAAGGCCATATAATTTACCTCAATTTATGATAGACTCTTGAATTTTGAAAGAGTCAAAATAGGATGAACGGATCATATAAACCCGAAGGCAAATATAATACAAGCCCAAACGAAAAAATATAAACATGTCTAAATTGAAAACAACGTTCAAACCTATGATTGCGTTGGATAAAAACCGCAATTTTTATACGTGTGCATGCAAAACAAATTTCTTGGTAGAGGGGTCTAAATACAGCACAAACAACATTTTCCAAAAGACCAAATGAGTGAAAAAGTATATTTTAACAAAACGCATTTGAAAGGCAGGTCGAACAACTGATGTTCTTAAACCCTGCTGACTGCCATTGGCGATTGCCAAATAAACGGATCACAAGCGTAACGAAATAGATCTTATTATTAATTTATTACCAAACAGAAAACAATAAACTTGCGGAAAAGATGGTATACCGCAAACATGAGGTTCAAAAATTTGTACACCATATCCGGATTTCGACAATTAATGTCTCTTCAGTGATGTTAGAATCGAAACGGTATTTGGAAGGCCATATAATTTACCTCAATTTATGATAGACTCTTGAATTTTGAAAGAGTCAAAATAGGATGAACGGATCATATAAACCCGAAGGCAAATATAATACAAGCCCAAACGAAAAAATATAAACAAGTCTAAATTGAAAACAACGTTCAAACCTATGATTGCGTTGGATAAAAACCGCAATTTTTATACGTGTGCATGCAAAACAAATTTCTTGGTAGAGGGGTCTAAATACAGCACAAACAATATTTTCCAAAAGACCAAATGAGTGAAATGTATATTTTAACAAAACGCATTTGACTAGCAGGTCGAACAACTGATGTTCTTAAACCCTGCTGACTGCCATTGGCGATTGCCAAATAAACGGATCACAAGCGTAACGAAATAGATCTTATTATTAATTTATTACCAAACAGAAAACAATAAACTTGCGGAAAAGATGGTATACCGCAAACATGAGGTGCAAAAAATTTGTACACCATAGCCGGATTTCGATAATTAATGTCTCTTCAGTGATGTTAGGAATCGAAGCATACAATCACTGTAAATTTATATATATATATATATAAATATTTATATATATATAAATTTACAGTGATTGTATGCTTCTAAAAATAGAATAGCATCCTGTAATTATACTGAAGAGATTAGTAGATGATCATTCCTGTACACTTAAAAGTACGTTGTGTATTGCGTTTAGACGTCCTTGTTTAAAGCCTACGAGAAGGTAACACCTCCCGAAACGAAAGCTGATTTCTATCAACAACAACAGGAGACAACAACATCGTTCAAGACCAAAGGGTTTTAACCTTTCTGGAAAAAGAACCAAAATATCGTTCTCCATCAGAAATAAGTTAGAAACAGTGTCGTTAGGCCATCAAAGCTGCTTTTTCATTCTGTTGTAAAATGGTGTAAACGAGAGTAATCTGATAAAAAAACATCTGATTCTTATTTGATGAATGTATTGATATTGTCGATTTTTCGAAAATGATATATACATCTATGTATATTAATAAAAGGGTTATAAATATGTTTATTTCTAGGACTAGAAATGAAATTCAAATATTTGCAAAGCGTATTGTGTTCGTTCCGGTCGACAAAGCTGCAAACAATGTGTTTGTTGTTGCGCCTAGTGTGCACAGTTTGAAAGTTCCATTATATATCATATATTTTATGTTTGCTGGTATAAGTATGTGCCTATTTTAAACACGTTAAAGCAATTGATCGGATTTTTTTTATCTGGTCTGAATTTACTTGAAATATACTTTATTATGACTTGAATTTAATTATTAAAATGAAATTTTAATTGAAAGACATATCACGTATCAAATAAAGCAAACGGCAATTCTCACATATTCCCTCATTTTGCCTAATTTGATTTAACTGTTAACAGTATCAAATGTCCACTGATATCTTACAAATAACTAAAAAAAAATTCAATTATAGTGTTTTCTTATCGCGCTGGTTCGGGTGGAGGTTTTCTTGTCGGCAAAGTTGGTGTTGTAGGGTCAGTAGTCGAAGTAATTGTCAATTCTGTTGTTGTGGTAGATGTTGTTATTGAGGGTTGTGTTGTGGTCGTAGTTTGTTTTGCTGTAGTAGTGGTTGTCGGTTCTGTGGATGTTGTCTTATGTGTTGTGACAGTGTTTGTCGGATCAGGAGTAGTTATCGTTGTGGTCGGTTCCGTTGTCGTTGTAGTGGTTGTTAACTCGGTAGTGGTAGTAGTTGTAGGGGCGGTCGTTGTAGCGGTCGGTTTCGTTGTTGTCGCATTGGTTGTCTTAGGAGTCGGTTCCGTTGTGGTCGTAGTGGTTACTGGCTCCGAGGTAGAAGTTGTAGTGGTAGGTTCCGTTGTTGAAGTAGTTGTTGTCAGCTCAGTTGTAGTAGTAGTCGGTTCTGTTGTTGTAGTAGTTGTTGCTGGCTCTGTGGAAGTAGATATAGTAGTGGTCGGTTCCGTTGTTGTAGTAGTAGTCGGTACCGTTGTTGTAGTAGTGGTGGTCGGCTCAGTAGTTGTTGCAGTAGTTGTCGTAGTGGTCGGTATCGTTGTTATAGTGGTTGTCGGCTCAGTAGCTGTTGTCGTAGTAATAGGTTCCGTTGTTGTAGTGGTTGTAGTAGTCGGTTCCGTTGTTGTAGTTGTGGTTGTCGGCTCTGTTGTAGTTGTCGTAGTGGTCGGTTCCGTTGTTGTTATTGTCGTGGTCGGCTCTGTTGTAGTTGGAGTAGTGGTCGGTTCCGTTGTAGTTGTGGTTGTCGGCTCTATTGTAGTTGTTGTAGTGGTCGGTTCTGTTGTTGTAGTTGTGGTTGTCGGCTCTGTTGTAGTTGGTGTAGTGGTCGGTTCCGTAGATGTAGTAGTTGTCGGTTCCGTTGTTGTAGTTGTAGTTGTCGGTTCCGTTGTTGTAGTTGTGGTTGTCGGTTCCGTGTTTGTAGTGGTCGGTTGTGTTGATGTTGTTATGGTCGTTGGTTTCGTAGTAGTAGTTGTTGTGATAGTGGTCGGTTCCGTCGTTGAAGTTGTGGTTGTCGGCTCAGTAGCAGTTGTTGTAATAGTCGGTTCTGTTTGAGTAGTGGTGGCTGTCGGCTCTGTGGTAGTAGTTTTAGTAGTAGTGGTCGGTTTTGTTGTTGTAGTAGTTGTTATCGGCTCGGTAATAGTTGTAGTAGTGGTCGGTTTTGTTGTTGTAGTAGTTGTTGTCGGCTCGGTAATAGTTGTAGTAGTGGTCGGTTCCGTTGGGATAGGGTTGTTTGTAGTGGTTGTCGGTGCGGTTGTAGATGTGATGGTTGTTAATTTTGTTGTTGAAGTTTTGGTCGAGGTAGTGCTTATTGATACTGGTGTTGTATTTGGATGAGAATAAAATGATCTTGGAAAACACCACGCATGTAGATATCTTCTACCGAAATAACTTGCCGCATATCTTATTCTATTAACCCCGGGATGTACATGTTTCACATTTATTAAATTCTGTACCAGTCCTTTATATTCCGTTCCAAATTTGAGGTAACCCAATGTCTATAAAAAGAAGGAAATGTATGTTTCAAATAGTCATGAAATGTTGTTTCTTTTAAAATATTGTATATCCAATTGATTGTTTTTATCAATTGTTTCAAATGTATATATCCAGTTTAAATCATAAGAAACATTTTTTGAAAGAATTTGATACCGCTTGTCTGGTAAAAACACACTATTTCATAGTTCTAATTATACTAAATTATAATTATAATAAACGGCCTCACTTACAGTGTGACACCTGTCCAGATTTGATAAGCACAAACAAGCTCTACTTACATTGTTTAATAATACAAGATTATTATGACCCACCTAGGCACGGTAATTGTTGAAGGACAATTTGATTGACAATTATGAACACCGAGTACTTCGACGTCATCAATTCATGCATTGACATCCGAAAGAGGTCCGATGGTTTGAATCCCATTTTTCGTATTTTTTTAAAAATCTTACGTAAAGATTGACGAAAATTAAGCTGGAACATTCCCTTTAACCCCCCTTTTTGAATGCCTGAAACTCATCACATGAATTACATGTAATGATACTGACGTTTTGCATTTACATGTAATGATACTGACGATTTGTATCTACATGTAATGATACTGACGGTTTGTATTTACATGTAATGATACCGGTGGTCTGTATTTACATGTAATGATACTGACGGTTTGTGTTGACATGTAATGATACTGGCGGTTTGTATTTACATGTAATGATACTGACGGTTTGTATTTACATGTAATGATACTGACGGTTTGAATTTACATGTAATGATACTGGCAGTTTATATTAACACGTAATAATACTGGCGGTTTTGATTTACGTGTAATAATACTAGCGTATTGTATTAACATTTAATGATACTGAAGGTTTGTATTGGCATGTAATGATACTGGTGGTTTGTATTTACATGTCATAATACTGACGGTTTGTATTTACATGCATGTAATGATCCTGACGGTTTGTGTTGACATGTTTTAATACTGGGTGTTTGAAATTACCTGTAATGATACTGACGGTTTGCATTTACATGTAATGGTACTGACGGTTTGTATTTACATGTAATGATACTGACGGTTTGTATTGACATGTAATGATACTGACGGTTTGTATTGACATGTTTTAATACTGGGTGTTTGAAATAACATGTAATGATACTGACGGTTTGTATTTACATGTAATGATACTGACAGTTTGTATTTACATGTAATGATACTGACGGTTTGTATTGACATGTAATGATACTGGTGGTCTGTATTTACATGTAATTATACTGACGGCTTATGTTGACATTTAATGATACTGACGGTTTGTATTGACATGTAATGATACTGGTGGTTTGTATTTACATGTAATAAAACTGACGGTTTGTATTTACATGCATGTAATGATCCTGACGGTTTGTGTTGACATGTTTTAATTCTGGGTGTTTGAAATTACATGTAATGATACTGACGGTTTGGATTTACATGTAATTATACTGACGGTTTGTATCTACATGTAATGATACTGACGGTTTGTTTTAACATATATAATACTGACGGTTTGTATTTACATGCATGTAATGATCCTGACGGTTTGTATTGACATGTTTTAATACTGGGTGTTTGAAATTACATGTAATGATAATGACGGTTTGCATTTACATGTAATGATACTGACGGTTTGTATTTACATGTAATAATACTGACGGTTTGTATTTACATGCATGTAATGATCCTGACGGTTTGTGTTGACATGTTTTAATACTGGGTGTTTGAAATTACATGTAATGATACTGACGGTTTGTATTTACATGTATTGATACTGACAGTTTGTATTTACATGTAATGATACTGACGGTTTGTATTAACATGTAATGATACTGGTGGTCTGTATTTACATGTAATTATACTGACGGTTTATGTTGACATTTAATGATACTGACGGTTTAAATTAACATGTAATGATACTGGTGGTTTGTATTTACATGTAATAATACTGACGGTTTGTATTTACATGCATGTAATGATCCTGACGGTTTGTGTTGACATGTTTTAATTCTGGGTGTTTGAAATTACATGTAATGATACTGACGGTTTGCATTTACATGTAATGATACTGACGGTTTGTATCTACATGTAATGATACTGACGGTTTGTATTTACATGTAATGATACCGGTGGTCTGTATTTACATGTAATGATACTGACGGTTTGTGTTGACATGTAATGATACTGGCGGTTTGTATCTACATGTAATGATACTGACGGTTTGAATTTACATGTAATGATACTGGCAGTTTATATTAACACGTAATAATACTGGCAGTTTTGATTTACATGTAATAATACTAGCGTATTGTATTAACATATAATGATACTGGTGGTTTGTATTTACATGTAATAATACTTTGCGGTTTGAATTTACATGTAATGAGACTGACGGTTTGTATTAACATTTAATGGTACTGGCGGCTTGTATTTATATTTACACCAAGATGTCGTTAAATGAAATTGGATATCCTGCATTTATCATGCTTTTCAAAAATAATATGGTCAAATCGCTGAAAGACCCCCCCCCCCCCCCTCCTCCTAAATTATTGAAAACTATCATTCTGCATTGACAATATATCTTGGTGTAAATTAGAAACACCCATTCTGGCTAACTCCCTCAAGGGGGGGGGGGGGGGGGGTCTTTCAGCGATTTGACCATATTATTTTTGAAAAGCATGATAAATGCAGGATATCCAATTTCATTTAACGACATCTTGGTGTAAATATAAATACAAGCCGCCAGTACCATTAAATGATAATACAAACCGTAATGATACTGGTGGTTTGTATCTACATGTAATTATACTGGCGGCTTGTATTTACATGTATTTATACTGGCGGCTTGTATTTACATGTAATGATACTGGCGGATTGTATTTATATGTAATTATACTGGCGGCTTGTATTTACATGTAATGATACTGGCGGATTGTCTTTATAGGTAATTATACTGGCGGATTGTATTTACATGCAATGATACTGGCGGATTGTACTTATATGTAATTATACTGGCGGATTGTATTTACATGTAATGACATTGGGGTCGTATTTATATGTAATGCTACGTGCGGTTTGACAATTGTATTCATATTTTATTGGTTGTTCGTATTTCGTGAATTTGTGCATGTGATTTTCTGAAGATATGTATTTACCTGTAGTTCTTCTGTGACCTATTCTTTGTTCGTATTTCGTGAAATTGTAAATGTAACAGGTATGTAGTTACTTGCAGTTCTTCGGCAACCTATTGGTTGTTGGTATTTCGTAAAATTAAACATTGAATTTTCTGGTTTGTATCTATATGTAATTGTATGGCCTTTAGTTTTTTGCATGTCATTTTGTAATTCTAATGAAAGTTTAATTATATATGTAATTCTGTCGGTTGTATCATAATGGTTTTCTTCCTATGTATAGCAAACCGTCTTTTGCTGTCCCATTTTTTTGTCCTAGTGTTCCTGTTAAGGATTAATCAAGAAAACAAAATCGAATATATAAAATTCGACATGTTTTCATTTGCTTTTATTCATACTTACATAGAAGTCTAATATTTGTTTATCCAAGAATACCCGAATTTCAAGTTGGCCTGGCATGTAATATTCATTGGAGTGAAACTGGCATACTCCTGGTTGATATTGTAATGGTAAATCTTCAACGTACTCTATAAACTCTCCAACAAAACAGTGAACCATTGGAATAACCCATATCAAACACAATGTCAGCCACTTCATTCTTAATAATAAAAAACTAAATGATAATTATCTCCGTTGTTATAATATCCCAGTAAATATGTAAATATCTTGTTTACATTTGCTAATTTTAAAATCAGCATGTCTAGTCACATACAAAACTTAAATCCAGAAAAAGAAGAAAATATTTTCACTAATCTAACCAAATCTGGCGAGTCGAGTCTCATTTCTGACATAAGTCTTTAGTTACACTAATGTATTGAAATGTTTTATGTATGAAAGTCATTTTAGTTGTTTCTTATGATTAATAAATACTATTATGAATGTGGAAAAAGTAGGTGCGTAGACATTTTACTTTATCATAAGTATGTTTTGTTGACTGGCAGCTTAAAAGCCTATTTAGAGTTGGACCATTTGAACGAGGACTAAAAATAGGCTTGGACTTTGTTTTAATGTAAACATTTACTAGTTAACAAGTACATGTACTAATTTTTAACATCGCCCTTTTGACACGAAAAGTATTTTAATGTAAATTGCGACTTTTGAGTGACTTTTATATTATTTTATTTGACAAACAGGCAATAAAAACTAATTCATTTTTTATAGAGATGAAATTAAGACTTTTCATATGGTTGTAATTGGTTTTCGGAAAATGTATACAATCCATTTCGCATTTTAGTACTATCCCCTATCATGATACCCGTTGGCACTCTTAACAAGGAGCTATTGTTTTTACTTTATCAATACTTAGATCAACCAGTCATCTTCATGTGTTTTATCGTGTTTTTACCGTACGTATTATGTGGATCACTGCCATGTATGTTTACAAATCCATATATATATACTTAATTTAACCAAAATTAGCTTACCCATGTCATTAAGGAATGTGTAAATCACAAGGCGAAAAACATACACTTATTGTAAAAGGAAATAAACAGTTTTGAACTAAAGATTGAAGCTCAAATAAGATACTTCGGTTTTATTTGTACTAGCTCATGTATAGAATTTCTTAAGTTTTTATATTTCAGTGAATGTTGGTCACATCTCTTTTTCAAAATTCACTCAAATGTTTACCTTATTTTTAATGCTGATAAAAAGTGTCCATTTATAATTCAGAAAAGAAAATTAAATGTAAAAATTTCAAAAACTTATTTCTTTAGTTTGTAATCATATTATATCAACGTATTTCAATGCAGGAAATATATTCTATGAACAATACTTTATATAGTCTACATTAAAAATGTGCTTTAAAATATAAGTTTTCAGCTCTTAATATTAATTCTAACTTTTTAATTTGTAGTTCAGATTTGATTAGACATTCCAACTGTTTTGAGTCAAGCGCCTCTGGTGAGTCTTATGTAGACGAAACCGGCGTGTCTGGTGTACTAAATTATAAGCCTGGCATCTCTGATAAGTTTTAAAAGTTGTATTTTAGAACTTCCACACATTTCGGGATTTTTTCTAAAAACAGACCTATGTTACTAGTTTTCATGTGTTCGGTTTCGAATGTTGTAAAAAAAGTGTTTGTGTCTAAAGTATTTCATTGAGACGTTAATATTTAACAGATACAATTACTCAACAGAAATCAGCGGTGCTACTCTGCAAAGCGACAGGTCCGAGTTATTCTAGTCTTACAACTCTTCGGGTGTCCATCAATGAATGCTATAAAAACTGCAATCTATAAATTCGTTTAGAAAAAAACTTTTTTGTTAGTTTTTTTGTTTTTCGAGTTTTCAAATCTCTTTCATCTAAAATAAAACTAGCATGGCTGCCTGTCGTTACCATTTTGCTTGTTTCTCTATGCTATAAAACGGTCATATTTGTCTTGTAGACATCGATTTAAAACTCGGATCCTAGGTGTAAATGTAAACATATGACCTATAATGGTTTACTTTTATAAATTGTTACTTGGATGGAGAGTTGTCTCATTGGCACTCATACCACATCTTCCTATATCTATATATGGTAAAAATCCCTTTTTTGAAAAGTTGGTTCTAGATGGAAACAGTTTTTTCGTTAGACGCAAAACATAGCATAGCGTTACTGATACCAGCTGTTGCTTAATTTACATATCACAGCCAATTTTTTGACCCTATCTCTTATATACGATGTACAACATGTTAAAGTAACTTGGAGGCAAGAAAATATAGAGGTTAATATTCTTTTTAATATCACGTGATTTATATTTAAAGAGGAAAATGAAAAATGGTCTTACCTGTAAAATTCTTCACCTGTGTTTTAGTTGTTATTTCTTGTTCTTGGTTGACATGGTCATTTATTATACATCTTCTCCTCATCTTTGTTTTCACACCTTTTACAGGTAAACATAACCTGGATTTGCATTAATCATGATGTAATTACGGTTTATGTGACAAAATCCAGTGTAAATTTGGACACGGTTGTCAATGTCGTTAATGCTTCATAGCGTAAGGTGCAAATACTTGATTTATAGCTGGTCAAGAATCTTACCTATGTTACAAATTTCCTATCCATAGTCTAGAACTAATTTTTGTACCATGGAAGCATATCAAGCGGGAAAATAAATTGATCATCGGATTTCTAATAATATCCGACAATCTATATTTACTTCAAAAGCATGAAAGAGAAGAGTACCATGTTTACTGCCAGTAATCAAACTGGCCACCAAAAGTCCGGAATGGATCGCAGAGTAACAATTTCCAACATCGATTGAACCTTAAGCTACTATTGAAAACCACAACGTTCCGACTTTGTGTTGACCTCTTTAAATTTTAAGTTTAATTATACAAGAAAACTTAAGAGTTTTTTTTATATTTGCATCCAGTATATATCTAACTAGCTACAAGAATGTTTGTTCTTTAGATATTAAGTGTTCTTAAAACCGTTTATGGATCTGTTATTAGATATACTTAGTAGTGACAAAGCTTACAAGTCTTATTAACTATTTATAGGTTGTTCAAATATCTTTGGTTAATCCAGAGACATATATACACATGTGTATATATGTCTCTGGTTAATCGAATTCCTTTGAAGGTCAGTTTGTCTTCGTTGAAAGTTACGTCTTCTCTACTCTGTATACATTATCGTATAAAACAAAAAAATCCATTTATAACATGGTCTTTTGATTACTCAGGGTGTAAATATAATTGATGTGTCGTTTCAATTCAGATCAAGTAATAACACTTAAAAAATACATTGATTTAACATGCAACAAAAATGATAAAGTCATTAGTTTTCTTTTGCTTAATGATATTCATATTCATTTTGGAGATCAATATAAAAGTAAGGAGATGTGATATGATTGCCAATGAGACAACTATCTACCAAATGAAGTGGATGTAAGCAGTTATCTTCAAGTTCAAATCTTGTAGTAGATTTGTTCCATTACTGGTATGCCAAATCAGTTTATGGTTAAACTTCACAAGGGACAAATAAAACATTACTCAACAGATATTTCAAACAATACCTAGATTTTTAGATAACCTATTCTATGTTAACATTCCAGATTTTTTTAAAAGACACATGAGAAATATTTTCAATTCAACTAACTCGTAACAGTGATTGGTCGTTTTTAAGAACTTCACAATTTTTCTTTGTATAGTCTTTATACCAAATTGTTGTCTCTTTGACACCTTCCCCATTTCCATTCTCAATTTTATTTATACCAAATTTGATGACATTTTATTTCCTAAAGAATTGCTGATTTTCCTTTCCTAGATGATCCATTGGTTCCTTCTTATGAAGTATATACTTCTGAGTTGGTTTGGTATACATGTGTTTGCAGTGAGGGTTTCAGATTTCAATGAAAGTAATGTGAAGTTTTACAACAGGGATATATTTACCATAATTTAGTCAAAACTTTTGCTAAATGTTATATTATATGTAGAAATTTATTGAGGAGGACTAACTCAACCTGCAGGAATGAATATTAAAAAGTGGTATTTCAAACTCAGTTTTTTTTACCAAAGTATTATTATATTAATTACCAAGATCGGTCATTTGGGTTTCAGTGAGACAGATAATTTCAGTGGAAATAATCAATTTTCATTCTTCCTTTTTCTATTTCAGAAAAAAATCTTAATAAGAGAACAAGTTTAGGAATTGTCTTTTAAATCTTTCTTTTTGGCTTAAGGTGCTTGTTGATGGAGTTGTAATCAATCTTTGCATCTGATATTTTTTATATAAAATTGATTATTCTGTTTAAAGTTTGAAACAAGACTATATGTTTTTTTTTGTTTTCTTCTGCATTGAAATTCTGTACAGATTCACTGTTGGTACTGTACAAGATCATGTCTTCCTGTTCTTTTTATGATCTTACTTGATGAAATGTAGGATGGCATGATTACATATCAGGAGGATTAGAATAACCGCAAGCATTCCTTGATATGTTTATTATTGTTGTGGTTGAACTTGTGATTTTCGTTATCTTTTATATCTGTATTATAATTAATTGATTTTTCATGTAATTTCTTTAATGTACCATTTGTTATTCATCTGATAGAGATTAAAAAAGGGGAGGATTGATATCTCCGAAAAAAGTTTAATCCAGCCACAAAGCCAGAAACTTACTAAGTGGTTGTCTTTAGACGTGACTTATTTGTCTTTTCATTTAGAAATTTTGCATTGACGGTAGATCTTTTATAGTTGCTGTTAAGATCCTCCACAACTCTAGTCTTGGGGCTATATATAGCTTGGCATATGGTTATATAAACTTATCTTGTTGAATACTGCAGTAGGCCTCTAGATGTCTTCTGTAATTTTGTGTTGTTGGGTTCCTGTCTCATTGACAAGTAACACATATCTCCTTTAATAACATGGTCTTACAAATAGTCAAACACAATTAAAGACAACAATACCAAATCATCTGTTACAAATTTGAAGAAAATTAGGGGCAGATCAAGGGGCGCCCTAACTCCCAACATTTTTTTCTTTTTGTTCAGATATTTGACTGCCAGATGAACTCCCTGCCTCCCTTATAATTGGAAGGGCCTAATCGTTGGCCTTATTATAAACTTGTATTGTTGTTACAGTTATTTGTTATAAGTAATTATATGCAGTCAATAATATTTATCATTTTCAAGTTTTTTTCACTGGAAAAAATAGTGGGGTTAATGCAAAACTATAAAACAGAAGCACAAAATACAGGCTCTTGTCTCTTAAAAACAAAAAAGAAATACCTATATACCTTAATATAACACAAGGTACACAACTCACATTTTTGAGAAATGACACTTGGTCGTGAACTTTTGATATCTCAATTCCGCAGTTGTATATCCTTAAAATTATAACTAATCAATAAGAAGGTTTATTTTTACTTTATTATTATTTTTGACTTTGTGATTCCTATTAATCTATGGGCCCTATAATTTGGAATAAAAGATATTTGTATTTGTATCCTGCTGAAACTTGTTATGTCTTTAAGATTCATTAAATTATATAAATTATATATCTACAAAATGGTGTACAACAAGCCTGTTTCTGTTGTCAAAATCATTCATTGCAGGCTTTCAGAGTACATGTAGGTCAATCTTAAATTATTATGTCTTTTCACAGCCAAATGGCAAAAAACCAAAACACTGCTTAACAAAGAAGTACATTTTAACAAGATTTATTTGTATAAATAATAGATCACAGTTGGAAAAAGATAGACATGAATATGTAACTATTGTTCTACAGCTATATCAACAAGACTGTTTAATATGTCCATTTCTCTAGCTTGTGCTGTCTTTAAATCTTCACTCAATCTGAACACATGAATTGTACCACTACCATCACCAGTAGCTAGCAACTGAGGCCTGAAATAAGAACAAAAATTAAGTATTCTAGTTTATAGTTGTAGCAATGTAAGCAGTAAGTCAATCGTCAACTTTAAGTGATCAGGGAGATATCCTTCCCCAGTTCCCTTCAACAATCACATTAAATTTATCAATTTAAAATTTACAATTTTGCTATTTAAAGTCAGCATTCAGTTGCATTATACATCAATGAAACCCACATGTTAACCACAATACTATGCATTAAATAAGGAAATTTGTTTTTCATGCACAACATCCGTTGAACTTCATAAAATGACGAGTAAATTTCAATGAGCCAGCAATCCTAAAAATGTAATAAAAAGACATTACAAAGTAACCATATGGTCTTCAATGATTAAGTGTCCAAACTTTTACCAATCCCTAAATGGAACCACTAATGATAGATGGATTGTTCTACCAACACAAAAAAAATCTATAATTTTCAAAAAGGTCCTAGTTTGCAAAAATAAATACAACAAATCAAAGCACAATTCATTGATTTAAAGACTCTGGAATACAACAGGTATAAACCACAAACAAATTGTGTTAGAAAGAATTTTTTTGACATTCTAATTAAGTGAGTTAAATTTAAAGGGAGATCACACACTGCATGTAATCATTTTCCCTTTAGGGTTTAGAAATGATATAACATCTCCTAATTTGCTTACATTAGTATTTTTGACATTGAACTAAATTAATCCTCTATCCTAAAGCAACAAATAAACTAATGAAGGTCCCAAGATGTTACAGCTGCAATAAATTGTTGTCTGAGTCATTAAATAAAATGCATCTCTGATCCTATTTTTTCTGTCTGGACGATGGTATAAAATGAGAAGGCAGAATTTGGGCAAAATTGTTCCCAAAATAAAATCTATACATGTACCAAACTATTTCTAATTTGCAGAATCAAATATTAAATCTGTGTACATTAATAAAACATTGCAGTTTAAAATATAGTCATTCGATGAATGGGATTCAGCCATATAATGACAGAAAATTCAGTAAAATGATTAAATCATACATGATTATTCACTTGCAAATGCATAGAAATATCACAAAGCACAATTGTCATGCATAAGAATATTGACACAGTATGTGCATTTAGTGTTTATCATTCATTGGTAAAAAATGATCATGGACACTGCTGGTGTTCTATGCTGATTTAATTAAAATGATACAGAAATTTGCTTTCTTTTAGTTTTAAAATCTGAAAAATCCCTTATGTCACAGACAAATTGTTTCAACTCTTGTTAAAAGTCTTTCTTTTGAAATTAAAGTAAATTGAATAATGATAACTATTACACCCTTTTATTTTAATTCTTAGTGAATTTACAGGACCAAATAAGTCCCCAAATGTACCTTCTCCTTTAATTAACAGATGGTACATAAACAGAAATATTGAAAGGTTTTCTCACAGCTAAATAAGTTGCTTTTATATCAATTCAAAAGTAAACCATTATTTACTCACTTGACTAGTTAAATACTTATGGCATTCTTTATAAATTAGCATTTAAATAATTCAAATTAAGATACAGTCTTCCCCATACATTTCAATATTCACAAACATCTTAATTATTAAGTCATTTACATCCTTAGGGAGCTACCATTTGATTTTTATGGGGGGGCTAGGATGAAAAATTTTGTCCTGCATTTTTTTTTAGTTGTAATCTCTGTCCTGCCTTTCTATTTTTCACTCTATTCGGTCCTGCCTTTTTTTTTTAAAGTTTATCCTGACTTTTTGTTACCTAAATTGTCATCCTGACTTTTTTTTTTGCAAGTGTCTCATCCTGCCTTTTTTTTTTACTCAAAACTCCTGTCCTGCCTATTTTTTTCAAATTTCATCCTAGCCCCCCCCCCCCCCCCCCCCATAAAAATCAAATGGTAGCTCCCTTAATTGTTTTCTGTTAACATTCTAATAGTACATGTATCTGAACTATCTCCTTTCTTCTGTTGGAAGTGTCAATTTGACCAAAATAAGTATGTATTTTCTTGTATTATCTTCCTTTTCCATTTTTTATAGAAAAAAAATCCCTGATAAAAAAACCATTATAACCTTAATGCCTATGCCATTCATACAAGAATCAAAAGACATGGACAGTTTTCATATTACAGAACACCATCTAATTTAGAACTATAATGAAGAAAGCAATCAAGATCCTAGGATGACTTATATGACATTCAAAATGACAAGATATTGAATATGTCAAAAACTTACTGGTTCATATTAAATTGACATGTATACACAGGTAACTTTTTGGTACTGGCTTCTAATTTTAACACAGGAACTGTCTGGTCCCCTTTAAGATCATATATTAACAGGTAACCAGTTTCTGTTGTAGCTGCTAGTAGAGTTGGTCTTACTGGTGACCATTTTGCTGAGAACACAAAACCTTCTCCAGGTTCTATTGTTATTACAGGTGGTTTCTACAATGATAACAGATTAAATTTATACATCTATAAATAAGGAGATATCCATCAAAGACCTAAGGACAAGGATGTAATCTACTACAGGTCACTGTACGACCTTCCCCAATGACCAATACCCATATCTTATAGCAAAAGGAATGTCAATTTCAGATTAGTTTTAGTACCAGATGTACATTTGTAATGCCTTTAAACAAAAAAATCAATAATTTACTATGTATTGTTTAGGAATATTTGTTGATACATTAGACACGTTTTACATTTTTCTTTTATATATTAAGCAATGCCATTCCATAATTAAAAAGAAACCCAATTGACTAGAAATTATCAAACCATTTTAAGCATCAACAATACATTTTGCTGTAACAGATCCATTCCTAATGTATGTACATTGGTTACTTTTATAACTTAAGACTGACATACCTGTAACATTGTATACAGTCGTATAGTTTGATCCATTGCTGATGTGAGGAAGGCGTTCCTATGGAAAGGTGAAAACTCTGCTGAATAAACTGGACCATAATGAGGACTATATGTGAATGTAACAGGTGATCGCAATGGTACAGATGAAACAATATGACCTATAATAAGAAGATAAAATCAAAACGTAATGTTATACGGAAGATTTAAAAGAGGCAAAAATAAATCTGTGCTGTTTCTACCTTTCCTTTAAAATAGCTGTTGAATATAATTTTTCTGCACAGGTAATAAATAATGTTAGCACTCTTTAAAATCTTATTTAAAAGGACCAATTAAAATTATCAGTAGTCCAGCAGACCAAAACTTCAAATTGTTGGAGTATTAACAAGTAAAACTAAATTTATTATGAAATAACAGTACAAAGATTAATTCAAAGCATATCAATGTTGTAAATTTTATGTAAAGTAAGATTGGAACTCTGTTAGTGAAAGTTGACCTATGATGGTATTTGCTATTCTACTTTGGCCTTCTTTGGTAATATGGTTCAGTCTGTATTTAAAGATATTTGTCTCTCCAACTAGTGGTTTTGAGCTTTCCTGATGAATGTAAATCCGGAAATTTGCACAGAATGTTTTATCTTGATACACAAAATATTCTCATTTCTTGTTATGAAGAAAGCAAGATTTGTATTCATAAAAAATAATCTAACAGTGATCGAGAACAGATTATTTTTAGATCTAATTCAACCACTAACACCAAATTCCTATAAACACCATTTTTTTAGAGTAACATAAATCCATTCATTGTATTATTATCCTTGTATTATACTTTAACTAAAAATTATGTCAAATTACATGTTGTGAAAACAATTTTCTAAAAAAGAATTGCTCAACAGCTTCAAATCTTCATTAGCTGTGAGGTAATCAATGGCCATTTTTGTTTTGCTTGATGAACACTGAATCCCAATGTAATTTTTTCAGTGAGGTAAGGGAAATAACTCTATTGACAAATCTTTAGCAGTTGCTCAATATAGCACAAATCAGTTTTAGTTATAGATGTATATGGTTTGGTTAAAATCTTAAAGGATGTAATAATCATAGACTTTTGTAACTGTTTGGTTTATGACTAATTATTATACTGATCACATGCCTTGATATTGACAGTAGGTCTAGCTGACATCAATGGGAAATCTTACTGAGATGCACAATAAAATTTATCATATGAGTAAAAGAATATGTTGGGTATAGGTCAATGAGACCCAATGGCACAAATAAACAAAATTTAAAAATAATCATGCCTGCAAGAAAAATAGAAATGACCTTTCTTGGAGGGTTAACTAATTAAAATGAATAAACTTTCTTAAAATATAGTAGTAGGAGTTTAATAGTTTTATATTTTGTCCTTTAGCATAAATATATTATCTTACTTCCTGCTGGTTCCCCATGTGCATTCATAGAACATTTAAACAGGGCACCAGGTTCAGATCCTACTATAAAACTTTCTTTATTTTCACAATTAAATGATACACTTGTTACGCCCACTTCTTTATCTCCTCTCATGTTTCTGGTCTTCTTTAACTCCTTTGGTAAACTTTGTGACATCAAAATAAACCTACAACAGATGTAACATAAGTTAGACAGTACAATTTATATATTAAGATAGTCCAGTCCTACTTAATACTTGCTATCAAACAGTCAAAATGCGAGGGCAAAAATTTTTCAAGATCTAAAAATTTAAGCTTCAGAACATGAGAATAGTTGATTCTCAAACAAACAAAATTTGGAAATTGAACTATCCATTATAAGTAAATGCAGAAGAAATTTGGAAAAAGTTGTAAAAACTCTCACATGATCCTGACAGTAACTGGTTCTTGAGTAGTAGTTTTAGTTCTGTATTTAATTGTCAATTAAAATTGGAAATATACTGTAGATCATTACTACAAACCCATTATTCAGCTCAAATTTCTTTGTTTTTCTGTCATATTTCCAAACCAACATTTTTCCATCACCACTTACACTCATCAACTGAAAAATGAAACAATGCGTGTATAATTTTTACATCATTATGGATGTATTTTGATAACAGTATATACAATTGCACTATGGGATGCATGTCAAGTTTCTTGTTATATACAGTCATTACTGTCAACTGTAAAGCAAAAACAATCCATGTACCATTGTTTTCCATTGGTAGTCCAAATTTCCTGCCCTTCATCTCTATTGTCCCATCTTGAAGAATCTACCTTTTGTATTAATTGTTTTAAAAAGGTTCTAGTCCTAAATATGCCTGTAATAATTGCCACTGGACATTAAGCATTAACAAGCAACAATCAATCAATCAATCATGAAACAAACAATAAAAACAACTGTACACAAAAAGCAAGTTTACTTACTAGTATCAATCTTTCCTGTGTAAATCTGGAGAAAATTTTACATTTTGAAAAACCACATGCTGTAATGCATTTTGTTTTAACATGGACTGTAATTCATGAAAAATATACATAATTATCCCCCCCCTCCCCCAAATACTATAAAATAATATGCACAACACATGGTGGTAAGAAAACATATGTTTCCTTCCAAACCAAAGTTTGATGGTGGAGGATCTTAGTTACCTTATATATGATTTACAGAGCCCATATCTAAGTCATAGACAAAAGTATCAAAGTATCTCTGATTTTCCTTATCAGTTCATTAAAATATACAAGCTTTGTTGCATGCTTTTTAATTATACAAGCTGGAACTCTTTACACGTTTAATTGTGATAATGCAATTTAAATGTATTGATATAAAAATAAGGAGATATGATATGATTGCCAATGAGACAACTATCCAACAGAGTTCATATGAAATGGATAGAAGACAACTTACCAAAAATTTGTTCTTTTTTGATGTGGTGGTATCTGGTACCCATATGACTTTAGAAACTGGTTCATGATGTGAATCGTCTCCTGTCTCTGAGGTGGCTAATAACATATCATCTTCTTTACTTAAATCCCACAATAATACTGCACCTGTTTCAAATTCAAAACTAACACTTTTTTATCAATTCTAGCTTTATTACAAATCTGGGAGCAATATAAAATTAAGGAGATGTGGTGCAAACATTTTAAAATTGACAAATTTGAGCTAAAATTGCAATTTTAAACATATTTTAAGGACAAAATAGATATGAGCACAGGCTTTATCTAAAAAGACATTTCACACACACATCATTTGAAATTTTTTCAAAATGTTGACTTACCATCAAAATTTCCTCCAGCTATAACTGCAGGGTTAGTAGGATGAAAAGCTACACACATTAAACAACAAGACAATTCCAGTATGGTATCTGGTTTACTTTCATCTACATTCCGTCTCTCCAAATTCCAGGTACATAAAGCTGTTTTGTGTGTACACCAGTCTTCATGGTCATAACGACCATATCTTTGTATCTAGTTAAGGCCTTTAAAACTTAGAGTTGAAAGGTCAGTTTGTCACATTCATGAAATTGGAGTTGATCTATTTGCCCATATTCTTCTTACTTTTTACAAATTAATTTGATAATTGAGCAAACCTTATTGACAAATTTCTTGAAAACACATTATCATTATTAAACTAAAAGTTTGTCTACTGGTTAGCTTAAACCCTTATAATTCAGCTAGATGAAGATTTATTAACCAATAAAGTTTGACTTGTGGTGAAAAAAAGCTAATTACCAGCCCTATAGCGACTGAGAAAATAGCCAAACATATAAAACTTTAATCAATTTGCCATGAAAAAGAATCATACTTCAAATATCAATACTCATAGAAGAAAAAAAATCAGTATTAAAATAGAATTATTAAAAATCATAAATGTGAATGCTTTTGATCTCTTTACTGACAACAGTTACTCCCTAATCACATAAAGTAAATTTAATAATCTGTCACATTTTATATGTATGTTCAAACATACACAGGAAAATTCATCTATGATTCTAACATAGTGTCATCATAATTTATGTGAATATTTAAGGATATATAAACCAGAAACACATATTTGGCAATAAACAATGGGAATCATATGGAATAGGTGAACTTTTAAAAATCATATGTACCTGAGATTCTTGTAATATAATTTTCACATTTAGTCATTATAAGATTTATGTAGTTGGCATCTATGCAGAACAAATTGAACAAGAAACTTCTTTGTTAAAAACATGTGGAATGTGTCCATGGGACACAGATGCTGCCCCCGCTTGCATATCATATAAAATTATAAACAGACATAATTGAAGAACTGTAAAAGTGACCCTACCCAAATTTGTACTTGATCTGAATTTTGTGGTAATAAGTATTGTGTATAAGTTTCATAAAATTTGGTTGAGGCAAACTTAAGTTAGAGAACGGATACGAAAAATTCAGCAATTTTTCCATTTGTAAAGGAGTATAACTCTAGAACGGTTAAAGTGACACCACCATAATTCAAACTTAATCTGTATTTTGTGGTAATAAGCATTGTGTATAAGTTTCATAGCATTTGGTTTAGGCAAACTAAAGTTAAAGAACGGAAACAAAAATTCAGCAATTTTTCCCTTTATAAAGGGCATAACTCTAGAACGGTTAAAGTGACACCACCAAAATTCAAACTTGATCTGTATTTTGTGGTAATAAGCATTGTGTATAAGTTTCTTAACATTTGGTTGAGGCAAATTTAAGTTAGAGAAAACGGAAACCAACTTTGGGACGTACGTACAGACGGACAAGGGTAAAACTTAATGCCCCCTCCGCTACGGCGAGGCATAAAAAAAGACTGTTGTTTAGACTGCCTTTCCAGTGGAGTGAAGAATTAAATTATTATTTACTGTTTTGGTAATGATGTCTTTTAAATCCTGATGTGCCAAATTCAAAGAGTAGATAGAGTGCTTCTATTTGTTTAAAGTACATTGTTTGGCAGTTATTTTATGAATTGAATTTATTTAGTATTTATTTTTGCATTGAAATATAGTAGAGAGGGGTTTATATCCTGGTTTAAAGCATGACATTTATATCCTGGTTTAAAGCATAACCAAAAGGGAATGAATCTTCCAATTTAAAAAAAAATAAATTGTTTTAATGTAGCAATTAGTGAATATTAAAATCTCTTTTTTCATTTAAATTTAGAATTATAATTGTAAACTTAATAAAAGTCAATAGCAAAAATACCTCCTCAGTTTGCGCAAAATATCTACAGAATTGTATATGGATTATGTACTTATAACATATTGCATTAGTCATATCCAAAGTACTTAAAATTCAATCTTCCATTAGCTAGAATAAATAGTGTCTCTCAACATAATATATTCATGGAGATATCTTTAAGTCCATCTATTTTAATGCTACTCCGGTTTGGTTTCTCGTATGTTCCATATTTATCATCTATCAAAGGATACGCTGCAGCTATTACTGCACCTGTGGAGTTCCATGATAATCCTGTTATCTGCAACTACAAATTAAATTGGAAATCTGAAATATTCATATCTATTATCTAACAGGCAAAGGAAAACTAAATTTTGTCAAATTTTTCAAACAATTATAGCAAAAGATGCACTAGGCTTTTAAATAATAGCCCAAATTAAAACCTTGTTACAAAGAAGTACTTTGTTGTGAAATTGTGTTTAATAAAAACCTTTTTAGTGAAAGGAATAAAAAAAGGGAACACAGCTCATAGATGATATTCACATGCCTATTTCATAGAGTTTTACATCATATGTACATATATTATATAAAATAAAAGGATTACCTGTCCTTCAAATTGAGCATTTTCCAGTTTACGTATACAGCTAACAGATGCATTATCTTCATCCCATATTACATTATATTCTACAAAATCAAAAGATACCGTAAAAATATGAACTGATAGTCTCGGACAGATTTATTCAATACTTCTCTAGCCTTTAAAGCAATCTAAGGTTTGACATATTGAAGAAATTTTTGTCTTATGTTGAAGACTGTATGTTGACCTCTACATGTCTTTCTTCTTTTTTTGTTTGGGTTATGTCTCATTAACATATACTGTACTTCTCCTTTTATTCATATAATGAATTTGGCGAACAGCATGTACTGTTTATATGTACTTTTATATGATTGACTGTTTGATGGATATATCACACAGCAGCAACACCAATGGAGCTATGTCTTAGCAGAACAAATTTTATCAAAATAGCACTTGTATTTCAAAGTCAAGCTAAAGACCCATTAGAAAAGATTCGATTATTGTTTAAAACTACACTACTAGTTTCATATAAAAGAAAACAACTGTTTCTTTTGTTTTTGCCTATGAAAAAACAAATCATTAGTTTTGTATGAAGAGTCAACTTAATTTGTTATTTTTAAAAATATCTATTTGATTGTTAATGAAACTATGTATCTAGCTATATGCTCATGCTGTTGACTATCAGGGGAATCAGCAAATGAAAACATTTCTAATGAGAAAAGCAAAAACTGTTAAGCATAAAAAAATGAACCATGCATGTTTTGGTCATTGTTGAAGTCATATAGGTTTCTGTAGTTGTTTACATCCTTGTCCTGTGGTATTTTTTTGATAGTTGTCCCTTTGGCAATGCAATCATACCACATCTCATTATCTTTACAAGAAGAACAAGAAGTTGCATGCATTGTCATGCTCAACATATCACCACTTGTAATTCAAAGTTTGGAAAAACAGGAAGTAGGAGTCTGACAGATCTGGAAAAGTAATCATATATTACAATCTATAATTTAAGTTGCTAACCAACTATGAAATCATTCTTATCTATAATATCTGAGGAAGTGTGATAAAATTTGTTATTGAAGAATAGACTGCCACATAGAGTCCACTCCTAGAGTGGGGTATAATTTAAAGCACTCAAGACAGAATTTCATATTTGTACACACCATCAAAAGCATGACTTCTCATATTTTTGTTTAGGGCTTTGGATAAATATGGTTCCACTCTAGCAAGAAAGTCTGCTAGATTCCCTGATCTGTCATCTGCTAAACGGAACCCTTTGTCTTTTTCTTCATCTGTTTGAACCTAATGTTAAAGAAAAAAAATTTGCAAATATTTTCTATTTTCTTAACATGACCAACAAATGATAATTTATTTCAATCCTTTTTACATGTGATCTTACTATAAATCCTTTGTTAATCTATATCTGTATAATCTATTTTCTTCATCCTACCTATATTGAACATATATGCAATACTTAACTTTATATCTGTTGAAAGCAAGGGAAATAAATTTTCTTCATTTGGGATATAAATGTTATTTTTATATCAGGGTTCCCAATAAAGATTTTTTAAGGCCTGTCTAGAGACTCAACATTTTTGGTCATGGCGAGTCAAACAGTGAGATGAAGAAAATTTACTGCAATATAATTTATAATTTCAGTCTCCAAGATAAAATAGAGCATGGAAATTACAACAAATTTAGATTAATTTACAAACACTTGTCATAAAATGATGATATATGTACTCAGTTGATACAACATTTTACAATTTTGAAACATCTTTGGACTCACCAATTTTCAAACTGGTGAGTCCAGACAGATTTTTATGAGTCCAGGACTCATGGACTCGCCTTTATGAGAAGAAGTCTATTATATATGGTTTAATTGATTCATTATTTTCCTGTTCATATTGGCCGAGGTAAAGTTACAATAATATTAAGTGTTCCTATTGACCGAGGTTAAGTTACAATAATATTAAGTGTTCCTATTGACTGAGGTAAAGTTACAATAATATTAAGTGTTCATATTGACCGAGGTAAAGTTACAATAATATTAAGTGTTCATATTGACCGAGGTAAAGTTACAATAATATTAAGTGTTCATATTGACCGAGGTAAAGTTACAATAATATTAAGTGTTCATATTGACTGAGGTAAAGTTACAATAATATTAAGTGTTCATATAGACCGAGGTAAAGTTACAATAATATTAAGTGTTCATATTGACTGAGGTAAAGTTACAATAATATTAAGTGTTCATATTGACTGAGGTAAAGTTACAATAATATTAAGTGAAGGTAAAACACCAAGCAACACATGTTTTGAGATCATACCCTTTGATCTCTATATTTTCTAGACTGAACTGCAACTTCCTCTGTGATTAAATCTCCTGTCTGACAACTGCTGTTAGCTAGAGATCTGAAATAAATTAAAAACTGACATAGAATTAGAAATGAAAAAGAAAATGAAAACTGAGACTGCAAAAGAAAAAAAAAATTGGTAATTGTGTTATGAAGTTATGGTGGTCCGATCATTGAAAATTGACATAGAATTAGAAATGAAAAAGAAAATGAAAACTGAGACTGCAAAAGAAAAAAAAATTGGTAATTGTGTTATGAAGTTATGGTGGTCCGATCATTGACAGTAATTGCTTTTGAGAAACTCATGCTTTCAGTTTTTAGAGTGCTTAAATATCAGTTTTCTAGGCCAATAGTCTTGCAGGATAAATAAAGATGACCATCTTGAACTTGAACCTTTAGTTGAAGACCTCATTGCGACTGAGATGAATAAACTGTTGACACAGAGATATGTCTTGCCTGTCGGCATAAAATTCATAAAAAGACAATCTGATGGACAGCAACATTGCTAATTAATTCAAAGTCAATGGACAATGAACTGGTGGGCAGGGCCTACAAATTGTCAACAAACTGAGATATAGACAGTGATGTAACTTTATAGAAAATATTGTTGTCTATTGTAAGTAGTTCCTATCTTAGTTCTAACTTACTTAACACTGAAAATTGCTAATTAATTCAAAGTCACTGGACCATAGACTAAGGGGCAGGGCCTCAAAATATTCGTCAAACTGATATGTACTGATAGTAATGCATTTTTATACAAAATATCATTGATCTACTGTAAATGCAGAAATCATTGCCATGTTTTTATTAAATGCAAAAAATGCGATATTGTTACAAAAATGTAGGTTCGCAATAATAAAAACTCGCATTCATAATTAGGTCTTTCCAATTTTGTTCTGATTCTTTTTTTTTTTTCTTCTTGCTGTCCGAGATGTTTTTTTGTTACTTGACATATCTAAAGCATTTTTGGCCCATGATATTGTACAGTGATTGCGTGACCGAACACTTTTTCTTATAGGAGTTATCTCCCCACGACCCATTTTTCTTGTTATCTTTATTTCTCTGTAACCGTAAATGATATCAACAAAAATATTTTTCCAAATTGTTCGTATACTCTTAAGGATGTTTTGGTTATGTTTAACCGAAGTGATCCAATGACATCTTATAGGAGTTATTCCTTTTCAAATTTAACATAGGTGATATGTTGAATAATTTCATACACCTTAAGTCATAGAGACCTAAAAACTTTTGATATGAAGTCCTTGTTTCATTTGGAGGAAATTGAGGTCAAGGTCATAGGTCAAGGTCATGTTCTTAATTTTGAACTTTGCTTGTTCTTTTTATTCCAAAGAAACCGTAACAGTTTATGATAAGATGCTTTTGCCAAATAATTGTTCACAACATGGCGCAACTTCAACCTGTTTAAGTCAGAGTGTTTGGATCACCCTTTATTGGAGTTTTCTTCCCTTTTATGTATTTGAAATCAGTTTTACTCCTCAACCATACAAGTAAATGACCTGGGATCTTTCGATTTCAGATCACTGATGTATGACCTTGAAATTGAGGTCAAGGTCAAAGGTCAACTTTATGTTACAGATTTTGACCTTTGCTAAAAATTCATACTGGTTCATTATAAAATCATTAGGTCTTTTGCATAGGTTAGTAGACAAATGAAATTCAAAAAGAATATTTTAACCGGAAGTAGCCATTTTCACAATAATTTTAATGAAAAAATACCTAGGGACCTTATATTTTTAGAATCAGATTTTTATAAATCTCATTAAGTAGGTTTCACTTTTTTGACGGAGGTCAAGGATCCGCATTAATAAATTTATTATAAATTTCTGAATTTACGTTATCACATGTAGCAATACAGACAAACCGAAGAGATATCTACAGATTGATCTCCAGGTCAATGCCAGGGGCAACTTTGACCAATTGAGGTCCCCAAAGTACCCATTCTAGTTTAAACTCCAGTCTGGGTACCAGAGGCAGAGATGTGTGTGGGAGGGTGAAAATCCCTCATGTAATGTATTAAAATTTCCAGCGCCCCAGTCAGGATTGAACCGGGAACTTCAGTACTGTACTCAACTGTCTTAACCACTGAGCCACGATCCCACATTGAATGAAACCTAACGTAAAGGCACCCCTTTACTAAAAGAAGCCAAGTAGTTTTCCTTAGTATTTCACATTGAAATAACTTATTAATTAAATAACCATCTATTTTGGGCAGGCTGGAACACTGATAGTGATAAGTAACATAATATTTTTTTCACTAAAGTCAGTAGAGATTGTTAAATCAATGTGTGATTTTGATGTTTTTGGTGTTTTGTAGTAAATAAATGGACCGCGAATACAGCATTACATTGATATACATTTTATGTATAAAGTGTTGGCTGGCTTAAAAAATCTGCACAAAAAACTATACTATATTATAAATAGACTGTAAAATGTCTATAGAATTTTTGTGCGACATCGAAAAAAAAAACGGAAGGAGTGTATTCAACTTTGATACCACAAATACCTTTCCCTCTTCCAAGAAGACGGGAATGAAACACATTCAGATGTTTGATCAGAGAACATCTTTTTCGAGTTTGTTTATATTGACGATGGACTCACAGACAGATTGCTATTTAATAGTGTGTCTATTTACCCAATCTAAAATTAAAATGATAAGGCACAACAACGTTCGAATTGTACTTGCAATTTTGTTTTAACTCATAGTCTATATATAATTTGATGTTATTTTTGACTTACATTGTTAATAAAACCTTTTTTTTCTACATGTGTTTGGAGATACGACAAATGTTTTTGTCCTTCTCCTTTTATCCTAAATTCGTTATTTTTTTTTTTAATTTCAATTATTTTTGTTTTTCTGTGTTAGACTTACATAAATAGAAACAACATTTGTTTACTATTTACTATCAATTTCTAGTTTACTGTCCACATCGGTGACTAATAATATATATAGAAAGAGAACTTCAGTGTGTTAGTACCAGTCTAAACAAAGTTATTTTGTGGATGACTATTCGATAGTATTTTAAAATGTGTAAGAATCACCGATATCTCTCAGTCGTGATGGTTTTATTTCACGTAAATGGAACATGTTGCATTAATTAAGGCAAATCGAGGTTATTCCTATAGAAAAATACCAGAAAACAATCGGTCTATCAACTTGAGTTCAAATATTCAAGTTATCAGTTATGATTTAATGAAATCATGATGTAAATTTTGAGACAGGATTCCATTCATTTGTAAGACTTTTCATCTAAATGAAGACAATCATGTGGTTTATCGTTTATCTTATTGTTTAGACTGATACAACATCTTTTTATAATGACTTAATCATATAAGGCCTCAGATAGTTCAATTTTATAAAGGCATGTACAGTAAATTGCATATTTTGTTATATAACAAAAAGGGGAGTACATAAAGATGACACGTATTTTTATTTTTTGAAAGCTTATTATGAAAGCTTTCTTTTCATATTTCAATTTTTTGCCCTCCCCTTTTATAAATCCGTTATTTTTTCAATTCTTTTAATTTCAATTATTTTTGTGTTTTTCTATGTTAGACTTATTAAAGTCAACTGTCCACACAAAAGTGTATTTTCCATGTATAATCTTCACAAATTCTGACAATTTTAATCTACCTGTAGCTTGAAAAAAGCTCTGTACCCTATGCTTTTTATTATATTTTTGAAATTAGCATGATATAAACTGACTACATTTTGGCAAAATATATAAGACATTCTATCGTTTTTAATTTAAACACCATCAACGGCGTAACGAGGTAACGATCTTAAAGAGGAGAAGGATGCGATAACATCTTCGTCTTATGAGGGTATGGATGAGGGGTATTCTTTAAGTTTTGAAGGCATTTTTCTTTCTCTCAAAACATAACGCTTATTCTCATGAAATGGATTTTACAATTAAAATTTTTTGTAATTATATCTGATTTCTCTGTTCTGTTCAGGCTTGGGCCCCTTATGGAGCTTCAAATATGATAAAGGCATATACTTTTTACAAGTATCACTCCAAACGTTGGCTTGCTAGGCCCCCTTTTCAAAATCCTGGAGCCGCACCTGAAACCCCTTCCAGACCCTCTCCTATGTGATCCTATGTCGTATGTAGATATGAAAAAAGGTTGAGTGGTATCAAAATTTTGTATTTGGCAACACAAGTTACTTGCTAAAATTAGATTAAAATTGAAATAGATAGCACTGTGTCGACTGAGTGTTACCCCCGCGTGTACCGTCGGTAAGCCACTTTCGTGTTTATAACATTCATTTATTTTGATTACGTCTGGGTTGATAACCAAAATTGTTTTTGTTTTCTTTATAGAATAATCTTCCCTTAGAATTATTTGATATTCGTGATGCCCTTTTGATTTCACTATCCTGTCCATGCGTTTTCAACAACTATATATATATATATATATACTCTGAGCATGAGGGGGATGACAGGCTTTTGGGGTGTGGGATATGGGGGTTAAAAAAGTTGGACCTGAAGAAAAAAGGAAAAAAGTGGGAATTAAGAAAAAATTACAAAAAAGCGGGATTTGGGAAATGATCATCCGGTGTCACCGCCTCCCCATCCCCGGTTATAGCGGACGCGTACAAAAAGCGTACTGATTACATCAAATTCGGAATGGTTTGTTTTGATCGGATACTGATTCAATCCTTTCTGGAAGAAAGATCGTTATAAAAATCAATTAAGATATTTGTTTACTCAGTCAGAACACACTTTGGTAATAAATTCCGACTTTTTCCCCTAAATCTAAAACCGAAAGTAAAAAGGTACAATTGATCAGAGGGTAAATTATTGACTTATTAATGATTAAATAAGGATAAAGAAAATAGGTCAATAAGGATATACTTAATCAGTAAAATATAGAAGGATGTAAAACAAGCAGTTATGATGTTTTTTTTTATGTTTTAGAGAAATTCTTTAAATGTTGTATTTCCTAATTTGAAATCGATAATTAGGAAAAAAATGGAAATATGGTAAAGTAAAGTTTTTGCTCAAAGGCTATAGTTTCAGGAAGTTGTCACAATTAAGTTGAATGAAATGAGAATATCTTTTTTTAATTGGCCTGGATAAGAAAAGTGGATAGGGATGAGAGTATACGGTAAACTAGTTTAACTCCGCCACATTTTGTGCCTGTGAATAATCAGATAAAATTGCCTATTTGTTGTTCTTTGTTCAGGCGAGTGTGTGTTATGCCCTCCTGAATGAGTTTGGATTCTTGTAGTCTATCGTAGGAATGATTCATGCCAAGGATTTATAGAATAAGAACCCCTAATTCATTATACCTTTCACGTGAAAGATAAATGAATAAGGATTTTCTTATTATCAAAGTATTACGATAAAAATAATAAAATTCTCCGCTGGGGCGCAGCTTGATACGACCGCAGAGGTTGAACCCTGAACAGTTGGGGCAAGTATGGACACAACATTCAAGCTTGATACAGCACTGAATTTGGATTGTAATTAAATATTTGACACATCATAGGTTTCTGACACAGAATGAATGTGGTCTAAGAACTTAAAAAAATTTAATTTACCTATTCAAACCATATCATTATTATTTGCTTTTATATATAAATCAGAAATAACCAATTTAAAATGGAAAATTTTAAAGAAAAAAAAGGAAAAAAAAAAATCCCCCTCCAAATTTGTTGAACCCCCTTATGATTCACCACCCCCAAACTCAATCCCAGCCTTCCCTTTGTGGTATGGTACCTTGTAGTACAATTTCAGAGAGATCCATACACTTGAACACAAGTTATTGTCTGGATACTAGAAAAATGCTTGTTTTTTGGCCCCTTTTTGGCCCCAAATTCCTAAACGTTTAGGGCAATTACCCTCAAACTCTAACCTAGCTTTACCTTTGTGATATGGAATCTTGCAGTACATTTTCATAAAGATCCATACACTTACACACAAGTTATTGTCCTGAAACTAGAAAAATGCTTGTTTTTTTTGCCCCTTTATGGCCCCTAATTCCTAAAATTTTGAGGGAACTACCTCCAAAATCAATCCCAGCCTTCCCTTTGTGGTATGGTACCTTGCAGTACAATTTCAGAGAGATCCATACACTTGAACACAAGTTATTGTCTGGAAACTAGAAAAATGCTTGTTTTTTTGCCCCTTTTTGGCCGCAAATTCCTAAACGTTTAGGGCAATTACCCCAAAACTCAAACCTAGCTTTCCCTTTGTGATATGGAACCTTGCAGTACAATTTCATAAAGATCCAAACACTTACACACAAGTTATTGTCCTGAAACTAGAAAAATGCTTGTTTTTTTGCCCCTTTATGGCCCCTAATTCCAAAAATTTAGAGGCAATTACCCCCAAAATCAATCCCAGCATTCCCTTTGTGATATGGAACTTTGTGGTACAATGTCAGAGAGATCCATACACCTACACACAAGTTATTGTCATGAAACTAGAAAAATATTTGTTTTTTGCCCCTTTTTTGCCCCTAATTCCTAAAATTTGGAGGCAATTACCCAAAAATCAATTCCAGCATTCCCTTTGTGATATGGAACCTTGTGGTACAATGTCAGAGAGATCCATACACTAACACACCAGTAATATCTGGAAGTTACAAAAATGCTTATTTTTGGCCCCTTTTTGGCCCCTAATTCCTTAACTGTTGGTACCATAACCCCCAAAATCAATCCCTACCTTCCTTTTGTGGTATTGAACCTTATGGTAAAATTTCATAGAGATCCATTTACTTAAACTAAAGTTAGAGTGCGAAAACCAATGTGTCTTCGGACGACCACGACGACGACGCCAACGTCATACCAATATACGACCGCAACATTTTTTTGCGGTCGTATAAAAACCAAGGATTTATAGAATAAGAACCCCTTATTCATTATACCTTTCACGTGAAAGATAAATGAAAAAGGATTTTCTTATTATCAAAGTTTTACGATACCGGTAATAATAAAAAAAATGTGACCTTGTTCTGAGACTACAATAACACTGTGTTATAGTAGTCTCAGCCTTGTTGAACGCCTATATCACACCGAACTTGAAATGAAGGATACCACAGATGCAGTTAAATCTATCTCATTTCCTGAATTGCATCTTGCAATTGAAAATGAGGGTCGGCTTAACAAAACTTTACTTACTACAAAAGTGATGATTTAAACTGAACTCTCGATCATTTCTATGTAGCAGCATTCTAGCAGCACATAAATATGGAACGCCTATATCCCAGATGATACGATATTCATTGGCTTGGGTTTCCTATCATGTTTACATTTATAAGAGGGTTGCTGCGTGCATGGAAGCTATTTAACAAAGGGTTCCTAGTGGTAAAGTTGGTCAACAATTCCTTTCGAATGATTTACGGACGCCGTCTTGGTTTGTTTGACCGTTATGGAATATCTGCGTCACAGATAAACACTGATATCGTCCAATTATTGTAGACACAATCCCCTCCTCTTTTTTTCGATTGTGACAATATCTAATTCGTACTAACCTTGAGCAACATGAGGAACAATCCTTCCGGAGCACCTGAGATAATTTTATTCATTTGTAGTTTCTCAGTTTTTAGTTTTCTATGTAGTGCTTTGAAGATTGTTGTTTTTCAATTTTTGCCATTGTTTTTGT